GACAGGGCTCGTCTGCCCTGCCGGCGGAGCGCGGGGGCCCGAGGCCGCAGTGCCCGGTGCGGGCTGTCCCGCTGCTCGGTGCCCACCCGTCCTGCGCGGGGAAACCTCTCCGGTCCTCTCTTTGCCCGCAGGGAGGCGGCCGACGGGATCAGCTCCCGGGCCGATGCTGCTGCCGGCCTGGGAATTATGGCTCTACGGGCTCCTCACCGTGGGCTCCCACCTCTACGCGTTCTACGAAGCGCACCAAGTGTCCCGAAGTAAGTGGGGGACGGGGTCGCGCTTGCTCCGGCGGTGCTTCCCGCCCGCGGCTGGCGAGGCTGCTTAGCGTGAGTTCTGCTCTCTAGTTGGTTTCTACTTAGTTCCCTTGCGAAGAGCGCCTATGCTCTTCCCAGCTTGCCTGCCAGCCCTGTGCGAGGAAGCAGTAGGCGGGTGCCACCTGGGCAGAGAGCTTTGTCCCAGGGCTTTCATGCCTTTGAGTGCTAGGAACGCCCATGGCAATCGTGTCCTGGCAGCTTTTTGTCAAGGAAAAGACAGGGAGATCTCTGAAGCTCAGCTACTCAGATAAAGAAAGTTCAGGCAAGTTGGGTTTGAATTGTCTTGTTTTTCCTTTCTAGTCACCTGCAGCCTCTTGCAGGTGGGTGGTTAAGAAGCATCCATGCCTTGTGATGGTGCTTTCTGGGGTCTGAACCTGGGGAGGCTCCAGGACAGGTGGATGCTCCCTGCCTGGAACTCTGGGCTCCTTTGCTGGGTTCTGGGCTTGGAGCAATGGTTGGGTTGTCTGTGCAGCCTTGGAGTCAGTTTGTTTCCAGACACCTGCTTGTGCCTTGTGTAACCTCTTGGTGGTAGCTGTTGTGGTGACTTGGTTTGGATTCAGTGGAGCTGTGTAGTGCAGAGCCTGTGTGTGAGTGAACTGTATGAATGGGTTTGTAGGTGGGGTTTTAAATGATTTGAGTACAATTTGTAGATAAAAAGAAGCAGTGTTTCTATCACGTTGATATTCTAATGGAAATAAAGGTGGTATTGTAAAAGTATAACAAGCTAGAGAGCTCATTAGGGAAATATGTATTGCATCTTGTTAGGCTTTAATCAGCAAGGTGTTCTACACTAATGACCCAGGTGTCTTTTAAAAGACCTCAAGGGAAGGAGTGCCAGAAAGGCACTTGCAGAGCAGTGGAGAAAATGTTAGGTAACTGGCTCCAGAGCTGTCCACCCATGAGTACAGCAAGTCTTCTGTAGAGGTGGCAGAATGTGATGGCAGCAGGTTCTGTAGGTGGCATCTCTGAGTGCCTTTTCCTTGCTCTGGCTGTACTGGCCGCTCTCAGGTCTGTGTGTCCGTTCTGCTCTGGTGGGAGAAACCAGGCAGTTCTGAAAAAGGGGAATTGAGGGTGCTGGTTTTATGTGGTAAAAGATGGGTCACTGTGTGCTACTGTCCCTGTTGCAAGGTGGAATCAAAACACATGTTCTGGGAATTTGCTTTGCCACTGCTGTGGGGCAGAGCTGTGGCCTGGTTGGGCAGCTCAGCTGGTGATATGCCCCTCCCTGGATCTGGGTATCCCCATTGGTGGAGACAACATGGGAATGTGTTGCTCTTGAGCAGCAGAGGACCCATCCCTTACTCTCCCTGCTCTGGCTGCTGTGTCCTTAGCAAAGGTTTGCTCTTCCCTGCAGAGTATGAAGCTGTGATGGACAGAATGTTTGGGCTGGACCCAGGAACTCTCTTTTGGGGCCTCAAAAAGGTAGGAGGGGTGATAGATACCAGCATCTCTAATTTTGAGGCAATAATACGAACACTGTGTCTCCATACCCGTTGCACATCCAAGTTTCTGATTCAGCTTCAGAAGTTTGTGGTAACTTGCAGATTTGGATATTCATAGTTAATTTTAGACTGTTTCTGGTGAGGAAAAGGGGTTGGCTGAGTGTGTATAGATCTAAGAATCATAACTAAAGTTTTGTTTCTTTTCTTGATCCCTGTCTTAAGTGTCTATCCTTTGCTACATCACTTAATAACCCTCTGTTTTACTGTTTGGCCTTAAAAGCTTTGATCACCCTTGACACTTCCTGCAGCCTTTCCCCCTTTTTTTCTGTCACTGGGTGATTTGGATAATGCCTAACATCAGTGAGCATGTGTTTCTCTTGGTTGGCCTGTAGTCCAGCATAGGGTAAACAGATTTTCTGAGTGATACAGTCTTAAAGAAATGTGGTTGGTATTAAAAAAAACCCAACAAACTAATAAGAAAACAAAAAAAAAAAACCCAAACCCGAACACCCCCCACCCCCTTGCTTGCATTTCTTCAAAAGGATATGAGGTCAAAAGCAACTAATGCAACTAATATTGAGGATTACTTGTGCCAGACCAGGAATGCATGTCTGTGGAAGTGTTTTGGATTTTAGGCCTGCCGTCACTGCTGGTAAGGGAAGCCGTACGTCAAGAAAGCCAAAAAGCAATTGTGAGCTTCTAGTGAGGCTCTGTATTTGACAGAGGGCTACGCTCTTACCTAATTTAGGTAAAAACCTCATGTCATGGAAACTCCAGCTGACCTGACTCCATCTGATTGCAACTAGGCTTTGTTGAAACAGGTAGTTAAACTTTTCTTCCAGCAAAATGCCTTTTCACTGGAGTTCTTGATTTTTCAAGGCAGAGCAGAGCTGCTCTCTTAATCCCTCAGGAGAGATGCTGCCTGCTCAGTTTCAGCACCAGTGTGGTGTTTAGGAGTCACAACATTGTCTAAAGCTCTTTTTTTCTTGAACTTTGCAACTTTGGAAGTCAAAATGGTGCTGTCTGAGTTCACTGCTGTACTCAGTCCAACTGTATTGCTGACATCATGTTCCTGAGATGTAGAGTTCTGTTGGGTAACACACACCTAGTGTGTTAGAGAGATGTTCCCTTGTTCTGTAAGAACATGCATTTATGGCCAGATACACATTGTGACCAGTTCTCTTCATGCCACAGGACCCCATGGACTTTGAGTGGAGCTACTGGATCGAATGGGGAAGGGAACGTATACTGTGGCTTCTGGTTGGTCACCTGCTGGTATCACAAGTGTCCAGGCTCCTGGTGGAGAAGGTATGTATGGATTTTCTTCACAGCAGGGAGTTTCTGTGACTTTCAGTTTACTCTGGACATGGGAAGCTTGGCACTGAGGCCACTGAATATATTAAATCCCACTCTGTGGGGTGAATTGTGTGAGTGGGTCTGTAACAATGCACAGGTGAGACCGTGTGGATCAGTTACCTTAATGTTTTGGAGACTTCAGCTGCCAACTCGTGAAAGCCTCTGCCTTGTTGTGAACCATTGAAGGGAGTCATTTGCCTTGCACATGCAAGAAGGGTGCAGTTATTCCTTTCCAAGAGTGTAAAGTGATGGCTGCTTGGGTTTTGCCATGATTGCTAGATGATTGCATGATTGTGGGAAATGATCTGTGTGGTGTCACACCTGCTAGTCTGGGGAAGGAAAGGAAGAAGTTATGTTCTCCTGCAAATTAGGGAGACTCTGGATTTCACATGATGCTGTTACAGGAACACCTTCCCCTTCACCTTTATGGATACTGTTGGGTTTTGTGTATTTTCAAATGTGTTCTTAACCTTGTTGACTGTATTTATCTCTACTGTAGACCCTGTGCAGGACTGCACAAGTACTGAGTGTTTTTTTTCTTTCGAAATAACTAACAGTTGTTAATTTTTCTTTTTCTGACAGTATAAACCATGGTGCTTGATGGTTTATGGAATGGCTGCCTGCTGGTTGTTACTGGGAATCAAGGGGTTTGCTGTCATTTTGTTACATGCAGCTGTTTCGTTTGCTGTGGCTCAGTTTCAGCTGTCACTCCTGACGTGGTTGTGCTCCCTTATCCTGCTGTCCACTTTACGCATACCAACTGTGGAAGAAACCAAGGTAATGTGAGAAGGACTAATTAAGCATCAAATTAATTATGGTTGTGGTTCTCTGTAGCAGCATCTACCTTTATGACAGAATATTGTCCCTTCAGTTGATGTAAGCAGGGTTTGGTTTGAAAAATCTTAGGCAGTAGAGCTGCAGTGACTTGTGCTGGAGCTTCTCCAGTTAGAAAAGTCATATCTCTTGATCGTGGTGGCCAGTGCATTGAGACAAAAATATGTGCCTCAATGTGTAAATGGTATTCAGTAGAGCTGGAATATGATAATACTTTACTAGTGCTCTGTTAAACACATTTCATATTCTTTGGAACTCTAATCATACCAATTTGAGGTGCTGCTTTTTAGGGTTGTATCTAGGAGTTGCTCAGCCAAGCCTGCCTGTACCTTATTGGTGACTGTGGACTTCTGCAGGGAGGGAGACTGTTCCTCCAACACTTTGATTTGTACCAGATGACTTACTTCCTCGCAACTGGTTGATGCAAGCTCAGTTTTGCTCTTTCTCTGGTGGATTTTTCTGGGTAGTACAGATTTTGGAAAAACTGTTGCTCAGTTGTGAGGAAATGTCCTTGTTGCATTTACTTGGACCAAGGGGAAAAACTGGGCATCTGTTATAAGGCTTGTTGCCCAGATGTTTGGGGAAGGGGAGATGAACATGTAGGGTCTCCAGGTGGTGTAGTCAGGTTTGTGCCTTGCCCTGAGGAGGAAAGGGCCCACTGCAATACAATGTAATCAACCAAACTACATTTGCTGATGTTTCCAACTTTTTTGTGATGATACATTTTTGTTGTTGGAAACAAGTGTGACACCAAGTGTCAAAAACTCAAGGGCTCAGTAACATCTTTTCAGCCTTAAGCTTTCTTTGGAGTGACTGATTCTTTTCAGATCTAGCATCAGCCCTAACAGTCCCTTGGCTGTCTCAGTAGTGTTGCCAGCTGGTTTGAATATTGTATTACTGGACCAAATCTGAGGGAGATAATGACATTTCTGTAAGAAAAGTTCTCCTGCTGTCATAGTTCTTCACAACCTAATCTGTTTCTGAAATGAAGTTGTCTCTTTATGCTGGCTGCAGTAGCTGAGGAGGACACTTCTCCATCAACAGCCAATGCTTGTTCATGCGTTTAGTGCTGTTCACTTCAGATGCTCATTCCAGCTGCCACTGGCTTTAGTTGCTTCCTGCTAATGCTGACCCCAAAAGTTAGGATCTGAGAGGACATCGCTGTTTTGCCATACAGAACATACAGCATTGCACCATCATGATCTGGCTTTCTGTCTTGCAGAGGAAGTGGTACGACACTGAAAATGAGTATTATCTGCTGCTCTTCACTGTGTCAGTCCGCTGCCTCTTCTGCACTAGCTTCAGTCTGGAGTACTGCTGGCATGGACCTACCCAGAAGTCATCCCACTCATTCCCATGGATGCTGGCATATGTGTTTTATTATCCCACATTCCACAATGGACCCCTTATGAATTTTGATGAATTCAGTAAGCAGGTAACAGTGGTTGTTGTTTGGGTGTCTAAAGCTAACTTCCACAAAATTTTGAAATCATCGAGTAATATTATAGGAATGTGACAATTCTGACTGCATCATTTGTAATCTCACAATGTCCTGGATATCAAATTTTAAGACAAACCTTCCTCCTCGAGTTCTTCCACTTCACAGGATGTTTTTATCCAATGTCAGATTCATCCCTTCAATCAGGCAGCCAGTGACATGCTTTGTTAGATTTGGAAAGTGTTCATAATTTTAACATGCAGCTGCTGGACTTGATTTTTTTTCTTCTCTGTCAGGTGGAATAAAGTACTGTTTTCAGGATAAGATTGCTATTAACTCTGAAACAGATTTCAGAGTCACGGAAAGATGATAGTTTGTATTGGAAATTCCTGAAGAGTCCAGTTTCCTCTCATATTGATGTGAAAACATGATTATTTACTTGGAGCACTTTGCTTCAACTAGGAAGCTTACTCAATGTGTAAGACCTACTAATCTTAAGAAACGCTTTTCCTAGTCCCTTGCAGGCTGCTTTTCAAACCTGCTTCTACATGACAGCAGAAAACTCCATATTTTCTTTCTTTATTGCCTTCCATATTGGTCAGAAAAGGGTTTCAAAGTTTGCAGTGCCCAGCAGTTGATTCAAAGTGCACGATAGAGGATGTGTTTATTGCTGCTATTTGAAAAGACTGCTCATAGAACCCTTTAAATGAAGCTGAGACTGAGATGAGGGTTTCTGCTGAACACACCGGAAAGTGGAAATTCTGGAGTTGGAGACAGTGAAACTGCTGTATGTCCCAAAGAGTGTAGTATCAGTTCTGGCAATTGGTATCCACTGCCAGGCAAAAATGAGACATTGACACTTTGTCAATGGCCTTGTTGAATTTCTGGCTTGAAGCAAGGCATAGCAGTTCTACTCATGGCTTTGGAGGCTTGTTGTGCAAATCCCTGTGATAAAATGGTGGTCACCAAACTTTCATCTGGTTGGTACAAACGAACCCTCCAAATGAGTGTGCGTGTTGGCTGTAATACCTGCTTGTGATTGAGGGTCCTTGCAGATGGGTTGGTTACTTCTCTTGTACATGCGTTTTTGGTGGTCAGTTAGAGACTACAGAAGGAAATGTTGCACACAACAATAGATGTTCAAAATGACTGTATTTTTAGGCAATCCTATGTTTCTGTTGTTTGATCCTATTCTCTTTTCTTGCAGAAAGAAGGTGCAATAATAATATGCCAATGTATTTACTGTAGTTAGCAGTGTAAGTTTGGGGCATCTTGAGAAGCATGTCAACTGCAAACCTTGTCTTATCTGGTGTTTAACTTGCACTCTCATTTGCTCAGCGTGTCACGTAGGTCTTGCTGACTTTGGCAATGCTACAGGAGAAAAATTAAGAACTGTCTTCAAGTAATCAATTCCCTGTAGCTGTTAAAAGTTGGAGGCGTTTTAAGAGCAAGCAGTCATTGTTTCTGTGTTTGGAAGGACTGCTACTTGGAAAACCTTCATAGCTGTGCTTTCTTTAATCTTTTTATATTATCTCTAGAGGCTGATCAAGTTACAGGAGTTAAAGTCTTGTGTCTGGATTCTGTTCAGGTTAACAGCACTTGACCTTTCTTACAAGAGTTTGGTGCAGTGTGTTCGTGTTTGGCTTCTTGTTGGTTTCTGTGGCTTACTGAGATTGAGAATGGACAGACAGTCTTCCTCAAGCGTATGTCAGGAATTTCCAAATGATGTAGTCAAAAAGTTCTCAGGATGAGTATTTTGATTAAAGCAGTCAGTTATGTGCTGGTTAACCTCTTTGGATTTCTTCTGTAGATGAGGAGACAAGAAGCTTTCAGTGTGAAGAGCAATCTCAGCATCTTAATCGTGGGCATAATCCGTATTTTCTTTTGGTGGTGCCTGGCTGAGCTGATGATTCATCTCATGTATATCCATGCTCTCTACAGTAGTGCTCTGCCTTTGGAGTCTGCATCCTACTGGGCCTTGGGTGAGTATAGAAACAATAGCAGAAATCTTTCTTCTCTCCCACTTTAAGGTCCCCAGTCTACTTCTCTTTTATGTCCATCTCTAGATGCTTGAGTAGTACATTATAGCCAGCCACTGTCAGAAAGGTGGTCTGCAGGTTCTTAATATAATATGTAGATGCTCTACAAGCTTAGTTGAATGTATTGAGCTGCTTCCTAAATTAAAAATATTCTGTACATTTTTCAATCTAAAGTATGTCTATAAAATGTGGTCTGAAGTGTTTCTCCTCCTCTCCTCCTCAAGTCATAGAAGTGGACACTTAAAAGAGTTTTTTTTTTAGTGTGGGGATGGAGGAGGAGAGATATTAAGAATTATTATTGATCTCCTTCTGATTGATGTTTCTAGGCTGTGTTCATGTTGAAAAGGAAAATTACAGAATTTGTGAAACTAGTAGAGAGAAGGACTTGCAAATATGATGACCTGACTTAGCAGTCAGTACCTCTCAGTTATGTTTTCCTGCTTGGCTTCCCCCACCTCTGCCCTTGCCCAAGCTTCCTGATATTTCAGTAAAATGCCCAACTGTGAGGAAAAAGTGCTGATAAATGCAGCATAATCCAGCAAGAGCTTTAGGTGATGGTTTGTAAACAGCTGTCATATGTGGTCGACTTGATTTCTGTTCCCTTCCCTTCCCAGCTATGTGTATCACCAGGCAGGAGGAACAAAAGAAAGAAACCCCAGACCTTAAAAGCAGGTTCTGAAAAGCTCTTGGTGATTTCTGAATTGATGGAGGTGTCTCTTACACCAGGCAGAAATATACACGCTGGTATGGTCCTGTCCAGCATTTGCTGAAGATTACCTATGAAGAGCAGTGTGTGTTAGAGGATACCTGTGCATTGGATGCTGGTCAGCAGAGGGCAATGTGTGCACTCTGTGTTTATCTGTAGGTGCATAAATAAACACTTAATACATATTTCAGTATGATTTTTATATTTAAAAAAGGGCAAGGGCAGATGGAGAGCAAGAAAGTGAGAGGTTTGCCTCTGTGGTTCACTGTTCGTTCTATTCCGCACTCATTCACTGTTTAGAAAGTAGATTCTGAGTTCTTCTGTTATCAATGTCAATTCATTGATGAATTAAATCTGTTCACTCCTGGTGTTTGTGTATGTGACAAAAAGCTGGCCACTTGGTAAGGCAGGCAAAGCTACTGAGTTAGGGATGAAATATTCCAGCTATGATGCTACTAGTGAATTCCTCCCTCCTTTCAAGACTACCAATGTTGATTTTAAAGGGGAGCTGAGGGTGAATTACTTCACAGACAACACTGTAGGCTGTATGTTTATTTGATGAAAAAAAGTGTGTAATCCTGAGAATTAAAATGCATTTAGATTATTAGATGATTAGAAAAGGTGAAAATGCCTCAAAGCAACAGATGGTGAAAGCCAGTGTTAAAGCAAGTTTGGACTGTAAAGCTGTCTGACTTCAAGTCAAATGATTGTATTTTAATGAGTCGCCTGTGGAGATGCTGCTTTTAGGAGAGGTGTATTCAAAATGTAACTCTACTTACTGAGCTTCATCTTTTTAATGAAAGCAGCTGTTTAAGATATACCATGGATGAGATTTTGAAGCAGAAGTTGGTCACTAAAAGCTTTTTCTGCAGGTTTATCACTGTGGTGAGTTGACCTCGGCTGGATGCCAGGTGCCCACCCAGCTGCTCTATCACTCCCTTTCCCAACCATAAAGGGGAGTAAGATGGAAAACAACTTGTGGATTGGGATAAGACAGTTCATTAAAGCAAAAGCTTGCGTACCCAAAAGTGAAGTGAAAAATAACAAGGTTTGTTCCCTACTTCCCAATGAGCAGCGATGTCCAGCCACCTTCCCGAGATGCAGGGCTTCAGCACGTGCAATGGTTTCTTAGCAGGCAGCCATTGGAAACAACGAATCCCCCCACTCCCCCTCCCCAGCTCTCTTCCCTAGCCCCTATATCTGAGCTGATGTCATAGGGTATGGAATATTCCCTTGGCTAGCCTGGGTCAGCCAGCCTACCTGTGTCCTCTCCCAGAAGGAATACCACAGCACCAACGCTGTGCTCAGGAGTAGCCAAAACACTGGTGTGCCATCAACACCCCTCTGACCACCAGTGCAAAGCACAGCACTGTGAGGGCTGCCATGGGGGAAATGAACTCCATCCCAGCCAGATCCAACACAATCACAATGATTGTAGAGGTCTCCTTAGACTCAAACCAGTGATAGGCCACTGTTGTGACTTGCTTTAGGGAGCCACCAATATATGAGTAATAAGGGTACTAGTAATATTTTGTTAAGTCTTACTGGACCCTTATGGATCTTACCATGCTTCTACACCAGTTCTTGTACAGAGCCAAACACCTGTTATTTTGCATTCTGTTTTATTAAAACCAGTTATATCAGATAACTGAGTCTTGAGACCAAGGAAGCAGCTTGTTGTTGACTCAGGAGGATTAACCACATGATATATAAGCCTTTTTGCACTGATGAGTTTTGTTCATTTTGTAGTTTATATTTAACTACAGCAGCTTCAAAGCAGCATGGAGCATCTACCCTTACCATGATGCTTGGCTGCTGTGATAGTCTGGTAAACTCAGGGGAAAGACTGTGAGGCTGTTCTGCAATCACCTGTAATCAGGGAGGTTATATCTGCTCCTCCATTTTTCTTCCCAGGATAACTTTGAACAATGGGCAATAAATGCCAGTAATGCAGGTAAAGACAACAGTGTTGTGAGATTTTGCTGTCAGCATCCAAGGGCAATGTCAGTCTACACTTCATGTGTGTGAAGCTGCAATTGTGTTCTACATCACTGTGTGGTGTTCCTGTGAGGTGAGACAACAAAGAAATAAAAAACTCATAAACCCTAAACTAAACCCAGACTGACTTAGAGTACTTGTTTAAAATGCTAGTGTACAACATTGTCATTTATGGCCGTGTAAAGCATAAATGCTGAAGTGACCTAAAGTAACATTGCTGAGGGCACACAGGGAGAAAATTAAGAGAAAAATAGTATCTGGGACAATGTTAATTACCCAACAGTAAGAGAAGTATTTTCTCTTGTGTGGATGGAATTTTAGGCACATGAGTTTATACAAGCAGCAATATACCAAAGTGGTATGGTTTTGATGCCTGTGTATTTAACTGTAACAAAGGTGCAAACTGCCTTCAATATTGCTGTTCATGTGCATTAGCTACTGTTAGGATATTCTGTGAATTGTATGTTTTTTGTTTTTTAGTTTTTCTTCAACTTCTAAAATTTTTAGACTTGTGTGTTTTGGCAACTAAACCAAGGGTCTTCGGTAGGTCAAATGTTGTGAGGTTCTTTTCTCTATGCCCTTTATGAACCAGTATGTGCATTACCGTACCAGCACTCTTGACCTATAGGTTATATTACCCCATTCATTGCATTTCACTTGCAAATGCCTCGTTCTGTGTGTTCGCCTACTTATCTGAATGTGAGCAAGTCAAAGCCAGTGCAGAGCAGAGCTTCTCCCTCTCTACAGGAAATTACCTTCTGTCCCAAATAACCCAGCTGGGTTTTTTGTTTGGTGTACCTTGGGAGATGTATTACTGTAGTGTCTTAAAGGCACAGAGGGCATTGTAGCCTTGCTTCACTCTTTGCTTGTTGAATCGGTATCCTTCAGTCTCTTCACTGGCTATGTAATCCGGATAGATGAAGCCTCTCTCTTGAGTAAATAATGATGTGTGTTGTGGTTTAGGAACAGTATTCTCTACTTCAGTACTCCCATTAAAAGTGTGTTACTTCCCCTCCCCCCCTCCAATTGGAAGTCCAAGAGGCAAAGATCACAGGTTGAGATAAGAACAATTTACTGGAAATGGCAATGGAATAAGAAAATGAACAGTCACAATATTAATAACAAAAGTGTACAAAAGAGAGAGTGTGGAGCTCAAGCCACATCCATGCTGCTCCAACTACTTCATCTGGCTGGGGACCAGCGTTACTCCACTCTGTCCACCACACTTGCTCAACCTGAAAGAGCCCCTTCTCCTCTGAAGTGAGAGTCCCTTTCCCCACCCCTTACAATGACCTCAGGTGGTACAGAATAACTGTCTTAGCCATGTCCCCTCCTGGCTACTGCAGAAATTAACCCTGTTCTGGCCCAAACCAGGACATGCGGCATGTGCTTTCCAGCATTGTTGGGGTACTGTGGATGGAAGCACTGCTGTCATTGAAGTATCTGTGCAATCTCTTTAATTGCTGCTTTATGCAGGTTATATTTGTAACTGGCATTATTCAAAGCAATTAACTGAGTGATAAGAGTGTTGGGAATTGTGAACAGAAGAGTGAGGACAGTGTATGTTTAGGTTGTCTAAAGGTAGAACCTTCACTTCTCTCCTGGTGCCCTCTGTTTCCCTGGATTACTGCTATCCCTATGTTAGCTTGTGCACAATAACCACCCTGCCCTGAGAGAGTGCAGGTTGCATCCCTCTGTGCATCAATCCTTTAATGAGTAGAAAGTGTTTTGGATTTTGGGGGGTTTAAATGAGAAATAGTTTGAGTCCTAACTGGAAGGTCCTCTGAAAAACAGCAGTTTTCCTAAAGCTATTTTTCATGTTATGTAGAGGAACTTCTCTACTAAGAGAGAAAATGAACATTCAATATTTAAGCTCTTCAGCTAGAGAGTATGAAGTCAATTGTTTAATTTTTTTCCATGTTGAAGACATTTTGCTGGCTTTCTGACCTTGAGATGAGAAAAAACTTGTTGCATCCACATCTTAACGTGGACTAAATAAAATAAGAAAATATTACAGATCTGTTTTCAGGGTATCCCCTCCCCTACTCAATACCAAAATCCCCATATGCCACACAGATGTCAGAATTTCTTCTACCACATATTCTTCCTCATGTTTAAATTGTTTCCTTTAGCATTCTGCACATAGTACTTTAAACTTGCATGTTTATATTGCAGGAAGCTGTGGCCATAGTACTGAAGATCTAATGCCATGTGCATTAACAAAAAGCTGCATTACATG